TATATATATATATATATATATATATATATATATATATACACATACATATATATAAAATTACAGTGTAACAGCTATATACGATGTCAGAGGGGTAGTAGATTGGGGGAAGAGGGTTATCACCTTGTAAGGGGTATAAATGTCTAACTATTACATTGTTTTGTACACCTGAAACTAAAATAAATAAATAAATAAATAATAAAAAAAATTAAAAATTAAGATTTTAGAAGTTAATTAAAAAACAAACAAAAGTTCAATTCTCTAGCACTTGGACAATGAATTCGTCTTGAGTAGGCACAGGTACTTGCACACCTAGACTTCCCAGTCGGTTGTATTACAAGAAGCCAGTTGTTTAAATCCTCTGAATTCAGAAAGCATTACACCACAACAAACTATAGGCCCAAAGTTTCTGCCACCTGTTTCTGTATAGCCTGTCAGTTAAGAATGATTTTCACATTTTTAAATGGTTGAAAAAAATATATCCAAAGGAAAATGACATGTTCTGATCCATGAAAACTACATGAAATTCAAGTTTCCTTGTTCATAAAGCAAGTTGCATTGGAGCATGGCTGCCTGCTTGTTTTATGCCTCGTTTGTAACTGCTTATGAGTGCCAATAACAGGGCTGAGTAACTGTTGAAGAGACTGTACAGCCCACAAAGTAAGGTTCCAGATTCAGTGCGTAAAAATACGGGTAATACAGCCAATAACTTCTGGGACATGTTGAGGACATACCTCTAGTAAAAATTATTCATTGTTTATCTGAAATTCAAATTTAACTGAGTGTCCTGTATTTTACCTGACAACCCTAATACAAAGCCTGAAATATTTACTATCAGGCGCTTCATGGGAAATATTTGTGTGCCTATGCTACAGAGCATGTTTCCTAAAGTGTTAAAGATTTCATGCGGAAAAAAAAGGTCCTTGTTTACATAAGGTTTGGGAAGGCAATGTCAAGAGCTTCTTTTTTTAAAACTTATGACTTCTCAGAAAGCCTTTAATATGCTAATATGCATTGTAAGTATTAAAGAGGAGAGGTGCAGAATAAAATGTTTTCCAAACTCCATTTGATCACACATCACTATTATTTAGGTTTGTTTTGCTAATAGCCTGGTAGAACTGCTGTTCCTCAGAGCACACTTTTTAATCTCGAGTCATTAAGCCAGTCCATCAAAACCCCTTTAATTCATCATATGCCTGAGGCAAAGTAACACTGTTTCTATGGGGAAAAAAAATGTATCCCTCGGTTCGTCTTCAGATTCCAGGGACATACCAGCTCTTTCAAGCTTCCTCAACCTTCTCCCTCCCATTACGGATGCCTGCAGTGAACGCTCTAGCAGGGGGAGACTGAGGCAGGACCTCACACTGAGGCAGGGGAGGTGGGCGGAGAGGCCTGGGGAGGAGGTTGCAGGAGGGGTCTTTCTTGCCTCTTTCCCTCCATGGCTAACCGGACCTGATGGGGGAAGGGAGAGGGCCTGACCACTTGTTTTGGGACCGCAAAGAAAAGGTAGAAGTCACAGCAGGGCTTACTTCCTGTGTAAGAAACAGATGCCAAGCATCATATATAAAAATGATGCCTACTGATATTTGAATTCCTCATTTGTTATCTTTTCAGAAAACTTTTCAAGGTTCACATATGAGTTTTTAGAAAAACGGTATGCTGTCGTTATTCCAGATCAGGACTCCACACAGAGTGGATTCTTGCTTTTGTAATTTTAATAATGTATGAGCTGTTAAAAAAAAACTCCTATTTTGTTCTCTCAGTGCTCCTTTATGATTCCCTCTCATGTCCGTGGCCCTTTTCTCTCCTTTTCAAAATGGATGAGGAGCTTTTGGGGGTCTTCACTGGACAGGGCAGATCAGCACAGCAAGGAACATGGTTTTATCCTTCTACTTCTCTCAATCCTGTTCCAGATGCTTGGATTCTCTCAATCTGGGGAGACCGCGAATAAATGGTGTGGATTTGACTTGGGCAGTTATATGGGTGGAGAGCTGTTTTGTTAATCTTTAAGTTACTTTCTTTCCCAAACTTGTGAAAGGGATTCCATCTCAGTTGTTTCTGATAAAATTGTAGAGTGATTAGTTCAGATCAGCGAACAGGAAAGTTAATGGAAGGGGGAGAGGCAAGGACACTAGACAGTAGGAACTAAACCCGATTTACAGTCTAAGATGGCACTGAAATCACAGGCTGTTCATCTGAAAAGCTTTGAATTATCAAATGGGGTGGCGAACATTACTTGTAAGACAGGTAGCTAACTTTCTTTTTTTTCCCTTTTATTTATTTTTAATACTTAAGCTCCTCTATTTGTTTACCTAAATCTAGTGTTAGCAAAGAGGATATAGATTTCTTAGCTGCCACTGGCCCTTCACTTCAGAACTGGGTGACCTAAAGGGCCTGGGAGGCCAGCTAGGATGCCTCAGTGCATCAGAGTTCCAGAAACTGAATTATGAATTATGTGTATGTGCCAAATCTAAGCACTATAAAAGTCGTGGCACTGTTGCCTCAGCTGCTTTCTGAAGCAACATTTAAAAATAGTTGAGTCATATTCAGTAGCAGATGCACCAAAATAAACCCTGGATATTTTTAGGCACTGCTGATGACTTTTGGAGGTGGGTGACATTCAGGTTTTTTATTTATGAATACTATAATGCATGCTTTAAATATTCTGCTTACCAGGCTTTAGATTAACCTGTGCTCAGGCTGTTGCCAATCATTATATATGTTTGATGTACTGCAAACACTGATAGTTGTATAAATATTTAATAACCACAATTTGATTTTAATTTTGTTTATTTAAATATTCCAGCAAATACAAGTAATGGTGGCAATTCACTTAAAACAATTCCTGTGAAGCAAGCTGAAACACTTTTTGAATCTTCTATGGAACCTATCGGAAACACGGAAAAGTAACCTTGAAACGCACCTGTCTAATGGCTTTGCAGAAGTGATGCCACCATCTCCTGCCTTACTAAAGGGATATGATCACCTAGTCTGGGATATATTTCAATAATAAGTTATCAAATTAAAGTGGTGTCTTATCCATAATTGGGCTGAAGAACATGTTTGTTTTGTTTTCATTTCCATTCAACAACCATTTATTTAAAAACACCTGTGCCAGGTACTGTTGAAATTACAAAATCAAATTAATTAGTACAGAATGAATACAAATAATTTAAAAGATACAGTTAAACATAATTTACCATGACAAGAGTTCTTTCTCATAAATTTTGTAGAAATGGTGATTCTACTTTGCAATGTTTTCCTCATTAGAAATGAAAAGAGTGAGGGCTGGCCGAGTGGCTCAGTTGGTTAAGAGCTCGCTCAAGAGTGCAAGCTCTGAGCAACAGGGTCCTCATTTCGATTCCCAGCCCAAGCTGAGCTGCTGCTGAGCTGCCAACAGGAGGCAGGATGGCTCAGCCAAAAAAAAAAAAAGAGCTACTAGTTTCCCTGATACTATGTATTTACACATTACATTCATTAATAAAAAATTTATTCTGAATGATTATTATACACTGGCCCATAGGATATCTTATCCACCTCCATAAATAGCCTTATTTAAACCATTAAAAAAATAGGTGTCCTTCCTGTTGATACTGAGTTGTGTAAAAGGAATATCAAGCTTTACTTGGAAATTGGTTCTGGTGTTCATTAATTCAATTTAATCCTACTGGTTGCAGGCATGCCCATATTTTTATTGAAGGGAAACAAAAACAGGTTGATATCCTGACTAGTTATCTTTTATATATTTTTGGTAACTTTATAGTCATATCTGGAAAATTGTCTTCCGCTGGAATTATTCCTGTTTTTATGCCATCTCATTAACAGTCTTCTTTGACTTCCAAGATGAGTATTACTAATGGTGAATTCCATGACATGTTTGTCAATTTCCAGCTAAACTCTTATCAGTTTTTCTGCATTTTTAAAATGAAGGCTTAGACAGTTTTATTAGAATTTCTACTTCCAGAGACTTCCTTGTTTAATTTTTGAAATCATATTTAGTAAAAAAAATTAAAGAGAGCCCTAGTGAAATAGATCACTTCTTAGGAGTATATTTAGAATCTGGTTTTAGCTGAGGTAAAGGAATTAGTCCAAATGCATATCTTAACCACTATCAGTTATTTTACCTGCTGCCTTGCATTCTAATGGGACAAATCTAAAATTACGGGAATAATATTTTAACCTATAAAATATAGTTCCTTAGGAAACGGTTGTAGAAACAAGTCTTCTGAAGCTTATTCAAGGAAAAGGTCCTGAGAAAAGGACTAGATTTAGGTAAACAGTCAAATAATATGTTTCTTTATTCCTTTGACTCTGTTCCTGTGAGACTTATAGAGAGTTGTGAAAAATATGAAATGATCTGTAAGCTTCATTCCACAGTGAATAAATAAATGAGGGTAGCAGGTATGGCCAAAGTAGGTAACTTCAAGAAGTTCAGCAGGATGAGTTGTGTCAACAGAAGCCAACACTACAGGCAAAAGGAAGGCCATTTACTTCTCAAAGGATTTTTGGCAGAAGGAAGCAGTGAACTTTTCTAGGAGCTGCAGCAGCCCAGGTAGGAAAAGAGCTTTTTCAATCAACTGGCAGAATGCTTATCACGCCAGTGGAAGCCTCTGTGATGCGCTGTTCTTATTCGTTAGTAAGCCCTATTTCTCTTTCAGATACTTTGAGGGCTTATTGTAGTCAGTGTTTCTTACTCGTGGAGAATCTTCTACCAGAACCATCCAATAAAGTGACTTTTCTAGGTTTCCGAGTAGGGTAATAATCCAGGTGGACAGCTCAGCCCTTCATACCTCTGCTGACTCTGAGCCAGCATTTGTAGGGAAAATAGTGTTCTCTCAATGATGTTTTTAGGGACAAGACTGACACTCATCTTAGCAGTTCACTACGTCATATCTGGCTTTAAATTGCAGCATTTATTAAAATATAGGGGACCTGAAAAACACACATACATGAAAATTTAGATCACTACATGCCATAGTATAGCAGTCATATGGTATTTAAATTCAGCATGAAAGTACTTTTTTTCAATTATTTAGATACAAGAGTTTCAAAGAGATGGTACAATAAGACTTACTAAGAGTTGATAATAAAGATATCTTCTGTATCACTGGTACACTACTATGAAATCCCAAATTTTACAAGTAATTTTGCGAGACTTTTACCATGCAGAACTTTTACTATGCAGACTTTTACTAGATTCAGAATTTTAACTTAAGACCAAAAAAGTGTTAATTTTCCTGTTATAAGGACAACAAAATATAGTCATTGTTCTAATGCAACCATGTTCCTGAACACATCTAGCTGATTTTGTGGATATATATAATTTTTTTCCCATTAATTTTGATTGACTTAAAAATCATAGATTTTCACAAAATATAACTCATTTTGACATTGAAATTTTGTTAACCACCTGGTAATTTTTATAGCAAAATATTTTTCCAATGCTTTTAAAATCAATGTCTAATGAGATGTCTTTCATAAAGGCAGATTTAAACTTGCAAAATAATTTGGCCATATTATTGGTAATATGGACATCTTCACGTAGTAAAATAAGTTCATATTATTTGTCTGGATTTTATGCATATAAAATCTAACAACGAAAACTACTTTAAAAAATTTTAAAAACTGTTTTGTTTTTCATATTAAGGCACAATATATACAGATTGACATAGTTAAACGACAATTATAATTCTATAAATAATTAATAGTTAAAATTAATTTGACACAGATTGACATAGTTAAATGACAATTATAATTCTATAAATAATTAATAGTTAAAATTAATTTGACGGTATAGAACATTATTGGTGACAAAGAATAACAATTGCACTTAATATAATTTAGATTTCAGACAGAAATTGGGTTACTCTTTATTGTCTTCATATGCTAAACAGTTATATGATTTTTTTAGTACTTAATACATAAAAAATATCATTTTCCGGCATTCATTAAAAATATAGAAGGTAACAATTATTTACATACATATAATTTAAACTCAATAATATCTTTTGAAGTATTTAAAGCACAAAAGATAGATTTATTAATTTATTTAAAACAAAATAAAGAGAATGATAGTAGGAGACTGCCATTTTTAAGTGAGGAAATTTTAGTACATATACCCTAATTAATAATCCTCCTCACCAAATGAAAAGAGTTATACATATCACTAAGGGTTAAAATAATACTTCTCAGATACACTTTATATTACCCATTGCATCTCTGAGTTGCATATATTCTCTTCTATAATGTTAATTATTTTTTTATAAAATGGAATTTAAGCCTATAAGGTCTTTTTGAAGAGTTAGAAGTGGTTAATGTAATAGATAGGTACATAATGTGTATTGTTTTCTGTTATAAGAAGCTTAAGAAAAATTTTAAAATATTTTAAATGCAACAAGTTTAAAGATAACAAAACCCATAATTATTCTAGTTATATAAGCTTACTCTTTAGTTGACAAAATCATCCATATTATAAAACATCTATATTATAAACAATTTGAGTATCAAAGTACTATTCTTCCTAGTATGCATTAATTTCATCAATTTCAAAGTCAGAATTCTAGAATGATTGAAATACTTGTAGTTATGCCTCACACTTTTTTATAGCTTTATTCTTTTAATATTTTAAAAACTTGAATTTATATAATATATCCAAAATTTCAACTAATATCCTATTTACAAACAGAAATTTATTTTAAACTAATTTTCATCAAATAAATTATGAGTTAGAGTTAATATAAACTGATTAGAGATTATGAAAATATTAAAGGCATTAATCAAAACTAATATCTATACAAAAGCAAATATCTTTTAAAGTAGTTAATTACCATCAAATGCAAATTCTCATGTAGATTTGATTGCATTGTGTTTTTCATTCCCCAATTTTTTTCATGCTTATTTCACCTATTCCTTTATAATTGGGCATTTGAATTTCAGATAAAAACTTTGGTAATGTTTTTTTTAAAAAAACTAAAACTCAAAAGTATTTTGACTGTGAATCCATTTATTGACATATATTAAACTTGTCATTGAAAACTTTTATTAAATATGAGCTAACTCTAGTGGTTTACTATACATTAAATAGAAGACAATACGGGTGTTTTTTAACTTGATGATCAGTCGTACATACCTTCCATTTTGATACTTTGAGATATTCAGTCATTCAAATATTTATTAAGTATTTACTGTAGGGCAACAAGTACTATTCTAGGTGTTGCACTAGTTTATGTTTTAGTGTTTCAACAATATAATATTTGGGTACCTTTTATGCTGTGTGAAACTTTCATATGTTCTTTTAGATTTTTCAGTTCTTTATAATTTAAATATCACCTTCCTCCCAAATATGGCTATTATATTTTATAAAGGAGACACCTATTTTTCCTCTAAAGTATATATATATTTTAGTTTTTGAAGTTCATGAATAAAATCAATTGTTATTCTTCACTTCCCCCTCTCCTCCCAACCTTTGGCTCTTGGACAATAAAAGTTCAATTAATACTAACCCACAAAAGTTCTTTAAAAAAAAAGAAACAAATAAGCATGGAGTAAGACCTTCTATCAAAATGGGTTGAGTCGTATTCCAGTCCCTAAAGGTGAGAATGGATTCACCTTTGCCCACATCAAAGCATCATTCAATGAGATAGCAGATTTCCCATCTTCAAGGAAATATACAGGACCCTGCACATAGTGAGAGTTGAGGAAAGAGAAGATGAGGTTATAAATTCGCAGCATGTTTTTAAACTTCCGGAAACAATCACTCTAATAAAAAACCACTGGTGATATTTAGGCAATACTGATAGGAAATTTAAAGATATGAGAAAAATTAGATTTTTTGAACTACCGCCAATATAGAAATATTTTAAATTATCTTACTGGTATACCCTGATGACTTTCAAAATAGAATATCTTTTTATACGCTGAATTCTTTAAATACAGTAGGGCTATCAATGATAATAGGTATTAATTTATTAATTACTACAAAGTTAACATTTTATAAAGGCATTTATACCTTATTAAATATGCTTCACTACTTTAATCATACACCTGGTAAATTATTTAAGCCAGAAACTCTGAACCTGCATTCCTGAAGATAAAAAATACACTGCTGTATATATGTCTATACAATTTAAAATTGCTCCAATCATGTCATTTATTAGCATATTTATAATTTAGTTACATCAGTTATTTTGTATGTCAAGAGTAGTTCCGAAGAACTAAATGCAAAAAAAAAACCCTTTCAAGCTATATTTCCCAGCTCTTACAAAGAAAAGCATGGCCTAAAAAACACACACACAAAAAATTATTTTCTTAATTATGTTCTAAAGTTACCAGGTTTTTGATCATGGTAACTAACTAAGTTTACATTAGTTAGGGTTTACATTAACAGCAAGCTATTTCATTTATTTTGAGTGGATATCCCCAAAAAAACCTTTCTCCAGTGTCCTGGCATGTCAGTATTAGAAATGTAATTAGCCACATTCCATCAGAAATCTAAGAATCAACTTAGTACAGTGTGACTATTACTGGGAAGTAGTGTTCTTTCTGTCCAATCTGTAGACTCAATTAGCATTTCATGGGGATTCAGCTTTACTTCATAGGGACTCCTATCTCTGAGATGACGAAGGCCCCTCTCTTTTTTGGAGATAATGGACATCCTGGGGCACACTGGCAGGCCCTGAAATCATTCCCCATTATTATACTGATTACACACTAGGGACCATTCTTTGGAAATTAGCCATCCCTCACGATTCATTCCAATAATTTTTAATTGCTGAAAAGTTCAGTAAGTCAATGCAAAAATGTGCATAGTATATCAATAGTATATTATACATCTATCAGTTTTTAATTGCTTTCTTTGTATAAAATACAAATGGACACAATAAAGTTAAATTCAATCTATTGATACATAATAATTTGTAACTGTGTTGGTTGTTGTTTTGTCTTCCTTATTTCCTTAAGATTATGATCTGTATGTATTTTAAAATATTTGTTACTAAGTATACATATTATTTGTTTCTAAGCATACCTATTACATGAATTGCTTTTATGATAATAGCACAATGAATATCTGAATTTATTTTAAGGGGAGAGAGGCCATTTACACTAACTATGGAAGCATTAGGGGAATATCTTCTCATTGGGCCTTAGGCCTCTTTAGAGGTATCTAATTTTATTCAGACTATGCTTATTTTAAGATAACATTTCAAAAAATAATAAAACAAAAATGATGGAAATGCACAATTTATGCCTCCATTAGGCTGTACCTGGATTTTTAACCCCGTAAGGCAAGAGATGTGAATATCAGAATGACTGGGAAGATTTGATCCAGTCACATAATCTGGTCCAATAGTTCCTCTCAGTGGTTCTTCTTTTAGTTTCTTTAGCAAAGTTGTATAAACCATTCTTTGTGACTCAGAAGGCAGTGCATATGGAGATTCTTCTGATGATCTATATTTTCAATAGACATTATATTTTCATTTTTGTAGAGTCATAGAATCATGAAGGTTTAGAATAAAACAGTCTGTGATGATTATTTAGTCCCCCTTTCTGGATGATGTCAGATCAAATCTAGACTTAATTTATAGTAAAGCAAAGGACTTTAATAAGGCAAGAAGGTCAGCATTGTAAATTATTACTGAATATATGCTAAACAAACCAAGATTCATTACTTTGCTAAGATTAATGATAATCCACATGTTCAACAAGTTTGTCTATGATATTAAGTAATACCGTCTGCACTCCAATTTTTATGTCATATTCACTCACTGATTGATGGACTGTGTGCACGCTCTCCAGGCATCCAATTCCTCAGAAAGATGTTCAATGTTTAAAGGCACTGACACTTCTCGACGTTTCAATAGCTGACTGAAACATGTGAAAAAGAAATTAACATCTGACATCTAGGACGAAGATATCAAAAAAGCAAATTAATTTCAAATAATTGCAATTTTAGATTTAACAACTATTCAAAAATATATGTGTATACATGAATGTATATATATATCCACATGAATGTATGTGTGTGTGTGTGTGTGTGTGTGTGTGCGCGCGCGCGCGCGCACTCACTTGTGTATTTTGCCTTTAAGCCCCTGGTAAGTCAAAGATGTTCAATAAATGTTGGCTGGATGACAGCCTGAGTAAATGGATGAATAAATTAACTGTATAATGCATGAAGAATGGTTAGACAAACTAAGCAATGCTGAATAAAACCACATATGGCTACTGTGTGGTTCAGTGTGTGTCTGGATTAAAAATGAATATTAGGAGTAAGAAAGCAAGTGGGAGAACGATGCCGACAAGTCGAAAGGAATGGAAATGCTGATTTCAATTCTTTAAAGACAGAGATGTGGTAAAAAAAAAAAAAAAAGCAGTGATGACAGGATCCGTCACATCTGTGTACAAACAAACATAACTATCATTAGTTCTGAGGCTTTAGATAAGAAATTGCTAGTCCTTGCTTCTACAGTAAGTTACAAACTCATGCTTTTCAAGGAACTCGTTAATTGAAATTTAAAAGTAAAAGCTGTTTTGGAGATAAAAAGAAAAAGAACATAAGACCTTAGAGATGAAATAAGAGCAAAAATAAGCCTTTCTATAATTTACATTTTATGGTTAGTCCTGCATGTTATCATCATTTTGCTGGGACATGATAAGAACTGGTGAGAAAAAATGGCATAAATACCTACCCACCCCTACACACATCTAACATTTCAGTAATATTATCTCAAATTAGTTAGTAGCTTATAATTTTTTTAACACAAAATTATCGACACTGGCTAGCAGCTCCAAAATGAATTCCTCAAAGATTAGGGCTTCCCTGTCTACAAATTTGCACTTAATAGTACTTGATCTGCCCAGTAGTTTTTGATGATCTACTTACTATATGTAAAGTGCTGTTAAAGAGTGAAGAGGAAAGCCGAGGTAAATAGGTGGAAGAAACACTGTGGGAAAATATCAGTAAGACACTTACAGGGATTACAAGTAATTCAGTTTGGCTGGAGTAGAGAACATATAGGAGGATACAGTAGGTGACAACCCAATTTTTGTGGACCTTTGATGTAAGACTAGGGACCTGGAACATTATCTGTAGATAGTGGGGAGTCTTGGAAAGTACTAAGGAAGGGTAGTGCTTCAGGAAGGCTGGCAATAGGAGTACCTAGGATGTCATCATTTTGCTGGGACATGATAAGAAATGGTGTGAAAAAATGGTATAAATACCTACCCACCCCCACATACATCTAACATATTAGTAATATTATCTCAAATTAGTTAGTAGCTTATCATTTTTTTAACACAAAATTATTGACAATGTGGCTAGCTCCAAAATGGATAGGTTGACAGTAGGAGAAAGACAGAGGAGGGGTAAATATTTGAAGAGCTAATGGAGGTGAGAGTAATGAAGACAAATAACTGTGAAAGTACAAATAATGAGAAAAGTGTAAATACGGATTTACTAAAATAATTCGATGTTGACAATGAGGAAAAAAACTCATTCATGACCCTGATCATTTAATTCTGGATGACTGGAATATAACGACACCATCCAAAGAAACAGAGGACACACAAGAAAGAGTAGACTTGAGAAGAGAGATGATTTTAGTTTTGAGTCTAGTGACTTTAAGGCTGGAGTTTGGTGAGCTGCTGGGTGTACACATGGGAGCCTGGAGAGGAGGCTATGCCTGAATCTAAAGTGAGTTATCTGGGCCGGCAGAGTGGCTCAGTTGGTTAAGAGCTTGCTCAAGAGTGCAAGCTCTGAGCAACAAGTGGTTCGATTCCTGGCCCGAGCTGAGCTGCCACTGAGCTGCCAACAGCTAAAAAAACTAAAGAAATAAAAAGTAGAAAATAAAATAAAAATTTAATATGAAAATAAATAAAGTGAGTTATCTCCCTAGAGGGGACAGATGAAGCTATGGAAATGGTGAAGTCTCTGAGGACAGTGTATAGACAGGAGAGAGGAGAGGAGTAGATACGTGGGAGGAGAGTGAGCTGGGGGAGCAGGAAAAAGGCAGAAGAGAGTACGAGAGAGAATGGGAGAGACAAACACTTTGGGGAACAGGATGGTAGTGGGTTGGGGAATTAGTACAAGCAGCAAGACAACACAGATACAACTGTCAGAGAAGAGAAGTTTTTTTTTTAATGACAACAATATTTCATTTAACGGACATACCATATTTGTTTTTTCATTCAACAGTTGATGGAAATTTGGGGCTTTACATTTTGGCAAGTGTGAATGGTGCCGTAGTGCTGCTATGAGTTCTGTAAAATTAGAGAGTTAAGTTTCTCTTTCTAAACTGTTTCTCTTAACGAGACATTCTCTCAAGTTTCTCCTCTCTTGCAAATGAAACGCCTCCCTTTTATTCTTTATATTATTTCAGGTGGCCATGTGCTCTCTCTTTACTTTCACTATTACCAAAATCATATATAGTTGAACACATTTCACTAAAATTTTAATTCCATTTGATACATCCTACTGTTCCTATAATATACTTTAACAGTTAAAAGTTGCTTTTGAGTTGTGGTTATGCTGCCTGCCTACAAACAGATTTTTTTTCCTTGCGTACCCTGATAGTATTAATTCTGGCCATTCCTCAGTCTGCTCTAAGGGGCAGACCTACACCTACACCAGACCTTCCCCTAGACAAAGAGAGAAGTCAGGAAAAAGAAAGCTTTGATACAGTCCCATTCATTTATTTTTGCTTTGACTTCCCTTGCCTTTGAGGTTAAATTTATAAAACCCTCTCTAAAACTGGGTGCATACGTTTGTACTTCAATTTTCTCCTATGCATTTTATTGTTTCAGGTCTTTGATCCATTTTGAGTTAATTTTTCTGTATGGTGACAAACAGCAGTCTAGTTTTATTCTTTTGCATGTGGTTTCCAATTTTTTAAGCATCATTTATTGAAGAGGTTTTTTTTTTTCCCCTCTACTGTATATTTTTGGCTCCTTTGTAGAAAATTATTTGCCCATATATATGTTGGTTTATTTCTGGGTTCTCAATTCTGTTCTGTATCGGGTTTTTTTTTGCCAGTACCGTGCCGTTTTGATTACTGTTGCTTTGTAGTATAATTTGAAGGCAGGGAGTGTGATACATCTGGCCTTGTTCTTTTTTCTCAGGGTTGCTTTGGCTAGTTGGGGTCTTTTGTGTTTCTATACAAATCTGATGAGTTTTTGTTCTATTTCTTTAAAAAATGCCATTGGGATTTTGATGGGGATTACATTAAACCTGTATATTGCTGTAGGTAATGTGGCCATTTTGACTATATTGATTCTTCCAATCAATGGACACAGATATCTTTCCATTTCTTTGCATCTTCTTCAATTTCTTTTAATAGTGTCTCGTAGTTTTCAGTGTATAGGTCCTTTACATCCTTTGCTAAATTTATTCCTAGGTATTTTATTATTTTTGTTGCAATTGCAAAAGGAATTGTATGTCAAACTAAAAATCTTCAGCACAGTAAAAGAAACTATGAACAAAGCAAAGAGGCAACCAATGGCAGAAGATATTTGCAAACAACATCTTGATTAGGGACTAATATCCAAAATATATAAAGAACTCAGTCCAATTTAAAAATGGGCAGAGGAACTGAACAGACACTTCTCCTAGGAAGACATACAAACGGCCAACAGAGATATGAAAAGATGCTCAACTTCACTAGCTTTAGAGAAATGTAAATGAAAACCACAATGAGATAACCATCTCACACCTTTTAGAATGGCTATTATCAAAAAGACAAGTAATAACAAGTGCTGAAGAGGTTGTGGGGACAAAGGAACCCTCATACACTGCTGGTGGGAATGTAAATTGGTACAGCCACTTTGGAAAACAGTATGGCAGTTCCTCAAAAAATTAAGTATAGAATTACAATATAACCCAGCAATCCCTCTTCTGGCTATCTACCAAAAAATCTGAGAACATGTTAATTGCAGCCTTATTCATAGTGGTGAAGACATGGAAACAACCAAAGTGTCCTTCGATAGATAATTGGATAAAGAAGATGTGGTACCTATACACATGGAATATTACTCTTCCATAAGAGAAGATGAAATATTGCCATTTGCGTCTACATGGAAGGATCTTGAGATTATTGTGCTAAGTCAAGTCAGACAAAAAAACTGAGAACCATACAATTTCACTCAGATGTGGGATATAAAACTGAATGCAACAAATGTATAAGACAAACAAACAAAAACTTATAGACACAGACAAAGTTTAGTGGTTACCAGAGGGTAAGGGGGGAGGAGGAAGGTAGAAAAGGGTAGAAGGGTTCAACTATACGGTGATAGAAAGAGATTTGACTTTGGTGAACACACAATGCAATACACAGGTGATATATTATACAATTCTACACTTAAAACCTATATAAATTTTATTAACCAATGTCACACCAATAAATTTAATTTAAAAAAGAAAGCTTTGTTTCTCTCAGAATGCTGTGACCCCCATGAAGGGAACTCAGAAGAAATGCTTACTTACAGACTTTCAGCATTTTTAGCAGGTACCTACCTTGC